ATATATTTTTATATAATTTTACATAATTATATTTTTTCCTGGGTCGAAATTAAAGTTAAAGTACATTGGAGGAAATGGATGTTAAAATTTGAAAATTTAACTCAGAAAATTAAACTATATGAGATATGTACAAAATATTAGCGATGTGCCAACAAATTCATATCGACTGTATATCCATGTTAGCTCGAATACTAGCAAAATCTATCGACGTGATCTAATAATAAATTTCTTTGGTTTTAGCAAAAACCAAACAAAATCTGCCAGTTAGTATTTAAATGGATTAATTAAATAAAATTTATTTCATTAAAATTAGATTCTAGTTTTTCTGAAGGATTATTACGATTTTTGAAACGAAGTGGAAATGCAAATTACAAAAGTAAACGAAATATAGAATATTTATAACTTCATTGGTCAACATCTAATGAAATTTTGCTCATTTTTTAAATTTTTACCTCATTTCATTTCAATACTGAATCGTAATAAGCCCACTGTTATTGTATTCCATTGCGCTAGCAAATTTATAATATTATTCTTATTGTTATCAAATTCTATTACGTTATGCTGGTAAATTTCGTCGAGAAAATCTATTCTCGACAGATTTCGCCATTTGCGTTCTAAATCATGCAGCGTAGCATCGATATGTGAAAAAGAGAACAATGGGATGACAATGAAATATGAGACAATGCTTCTGGCACGTTCTTTTTACATTTTCTTACGTTGTCTTTCTCTCTCTTTCTTTCTCTCTGTCGCTTTCATACGTGTGTTCGTTTCGCGTAGAGATTTACGTGTGCGTCGATCGCGGTCAATAAGTAGCATAAAATAACAAGAAAAATAATGATGCGAAAAGAAGAAGCGATTTGTGGCGGCAGCGCTCGCGTGACTCGTACGGCCGTACATCAAAATTGATCAAAATCGCATACCTGCTCGCTCGAGCGAGCAGAGCCGCCGCGTTGATCGTTTTCAGGAGTGTGGAGAGCGTCTTGGAAGAAGAAGAGAGAAAGAGAGAGAGAGAGAGAGAGAGAGAGAGAGAGAGGAATGCGGTGATCGCGCTCGGCAAAATCGTGATCTATCGTGACGACAGAAACGACGACGACGTATGCCAATGACGATGACGACGACGACGTCGTCGTCGCGACGCCGTGGCCAACTAGAAAACTAGACCACTTGACCTCGTGGGATCGTCGATTGTACAGACAGGAAATGTATAGGAACGCTTTTCCTCATCTCATTGTATATAGCTCCTTTCTTTCCTCTCTTCTTTTACTACCTCGCCTCTTGCGCGGCGATTTTTGACGCGACTTATGCAACATAACCTTAATTTGTCAACGGCGACGTCGAGACTCCTCGTCGCGCAGCACGTAGACGTGTATCCGTCGACGCCGCGGAGTGTATCCCTATAATTCGATTGTGTGAATCACCCGCGACGCGTCGGAATCGGGCACGTCCTCGTCGGTGTACTGGGGAATCATATGTTATGATGCGTTTGTTATTTCGGAGAATCCGTTCTCTCCTTCTGTTCCATTCCTCTTTATCCCTTCCATCATTGTAGTTGTTTAGGCGTTGACAACCTCGTTTGATGTTATGTTCGATATCACGTGTGTATAAGATTAACAAGATTATGAAATATTTATATCTATATTATTCTTTGATTTATCAGAAATGCTAAGTTTATGACTGTGTTAGAGAAGAGTTGACCTATATTAAGTTTATACTTATAATCATATATTTTTGGTTTAGTACACATCTGTTATACAAATTATGATAACAATAGGTGTTTTCCTTTTAGTGATATAGGTCAATAGAACATTCTATCTTTCTTGATATTCAATGAATAATAAAGGTAGTGACACTTGTGGACTATATCACCAAATGAAAAACACTCAATGATGGCTAGAATTACAAGTATTACAACATTTCTGGTTCTTGTAGATCTTTAGCTATCGTTGCAAGGGTATGAGGATCCGTGCTGTAATACCTGTATTGAAAGACTACCAGGTACAAGCTAACTTGGTTTCCTACAGCAATGGAAAATCAAGGTTATCATCATCAGGCCATCTCAACCCATCAGTCTTTCTGGAAGAAAAACACACGAGCTGTACCAGGAAGGTGTGTTTTTCTTTATAATGTTGTTCTCTTATGATTTCTCGTATTTTACTTAATAATCGATTTATTCTTTGTAGGCCAAGTCTGAAACAAGATGTTAGATATGGCAAGTTTAATCCTGCAACGATTGGATCCAGCAATCTGACTGGTATTGCTAACAGCAGCAGTAGTACAGGTGGAAGTGGAGGCTCCACTTCTTTTCAAGACTTTCAGGAGAGTGTGGATGACGCATGGGATTCAGGGGATGATGAATTCTGTACAGTCTCAGATGTAAAGATTTCGAAGAGAGTCAGTCACTCGGCGGCCCTTAGTGTTATCAACAGTCATAGATCTGGCAATAAGTGTTCACAGCCATCCCAGGCAAACGCCAAGATGATGCAACAAAAAATTATCCCCGAGGAAAAAAAGGCAGAGGCTCTTCAAAGGCTGGCAGTGCAGCCATTACATCTACGCAATGTGAATCTGCATCCACAGATGCTTAACAGCCAGCACTCCAGTGAAGATGCAGATTTAAAGCACAGTGCATCGCCCCAGCACAAGCCGACACAATTTCCTGGTAGACCACAGCCGCTGAGACAGGCAAATGCTCCTAATAAATTTTTTGTACCTTCAAAGGAGCAGGGTATGTATCCATTTATTCACATTTAGCAGCCTGATCTTTAAAATCTAATTTACAATGTGCTCTTTTTATTTCCTGTTTTTATTTCTTGTTTTGTTTTTCTCTTTATGACTTTTTATAACAATTTTTTTGTCTCATCTCTTCCGAAGTTTGTTAATTTTTATCTCAAATAAAAAAATGAAATGGGATAAGAGATAAAAATTAATGAAAAGCAAAAAGCAAAAAACACATTGTAGATTAGGTTTAAGACACAGAGTTTAAAAAATTGTAAATCTGTTCAGACGGCGAAAGCAAAGTGGACAAGTTTCAATTACTTTTGGAAGCGTCCGTGCTGAATTTAGATGAATTAAGGCAGCTATCATGGTCGGGCGTACCTGCCAAATTACGTTCTGTCACTTGGCGGTTATTGTCTGTAAGTAGAGAAGGTAAACACATCGCATTGTCAAGCTTAGTAGAATGCTGTCGCAAAACGTTAAACGATTGCGTTCGTGCCATTGTAGGAGTACTTGCCAGCTAATCTAGAACGTAGACAACCTGCGTTGGAACGTAAACGATTGGACTATTGGAATTTGGTGAAGCAATATTACGACGTCGAGCGGGATGAAGGTTTTCAAGATACGTATCGCCAGATTCATATCGATATCCCTAGAATGTCACCGCTTATCTCGCTATTTCAACAGACGACGGTGCAACTGATATTCGAGAGAATATTGTATATTTGGGCGATTAGACATCCTGCATCTGGTTACGTTCAGGTATTTCACATAAAATCGTATCTTATTTACTCTTTATATAATAAAAATTTATGTTATCATTTATTTGTATATCCATTGTTGTTATAGGGCATGAATGATCTTGTGACACCTTTCTTCTTGGTTTTTCTGCAAGAGGCGGTGCCGATACAAGCTTGGCAAGATCTAGAAAATTATGATGTGGCGTCGTTATCGAAGGAACAACGTGATATTATCGAAGCGGATAGTTTTTGGTGCCTATCTAAATTCTTGGATGGTATACAAGATAATTATATATTTGCTCAGTTGGGAATCCAACATAAAGTGAACCAGTTAAAGGAGCTAATACAAAGGATTGATGGTAAATATCTCACTAGGACCTGTTTTATGTTTGTCCTTTTCATTTTTTTAAACCTTTTATTGTAATGCTTTCAGCACCATTGCATCAACATTTGCATCAACATGGAGTGGATTATCTACAATTCTCTTTTCGATGGATGAATAATCTGCTAACCAGAGAAATCCCGCTTCACTGTACTATCCGATTGTGGGACACGTATTTGGCAGAATCTGACAGATTCGCCTCGTTTCAGCTCTACGTATGTGCGGCTTTCCTTCTTCGTTGGAGGCGACACTTGCTCTTGCAACCTGATTTTCAAGTAATTCATCCGCTAGTATGCTCTTCATTTGGTGGTACAAGTTGATTTAAATATCTTGTTATGTTATTTAGTGAATATCAAGAAAAATGATGTTTGTATCGACTTGTCGCTTAAATGAAAAATATGCTACAATCTTATAGATAAAGATCGATTGTCATTCTTCAATAATTACAGGGGCTGATGTTAATGCTACAAAACCTGCCCACGCAAAATTGGACGGATTCAGAAATAGGCGTGCTAGTAGCCGAGGCATACAAATTGAAGTTTACATTTGCCGACGCACCCAATCACCTGCAAGCCTATGATACGACAACCAGATGACCACTTTCAAACGGATTGGGTTGATGTTATTATGAATAGTGGCCAAACTGCGAGGCCGAGCGCTATCGTATTATCGCCGGTTCTCCTCTTCCGTCTCACCGTCACTATGTATATTGTGACGTTCAGTCTATCACGGCCATATCGAAAGTTTTCGGAACAATCGGTCTCTTACGTTTCGTTTTCGCGTCGGCTATTAAGTTTTCACGATTACTTTATGCATTATAGAGTTTATTCCTTTGTTACATTGAAAGATTTCATGAAAAGAATGTTTAGATAAACTCGCCATATTCCATTGTGGAATAAATTGTAAATGCATTTTAGGATGCAGAGAATGTAACGCGAATCAATTGCCATTTCCCGGTTTGCATTAAATTTTTATATATATAATAAGGTCTCAGACATTATATACAGATAATATATATAGACAGAAAAGTTTTATATATCGACCCTGTGTTGTACTTTTATAGTGATTATGCAGTTTCCTTGATTATCCTTGCATATATTCCTATTTATCCCAACTATTGTCAAGAATTTGATTTTGAAACTAATGTTTATGCTTTAATATTTAATATTCACAAACGATATATTTCATTTTATAGCATAATATTTGATAGCATGCTTTATTTCGATATATTTTATATATTAAAATAATAAAATATATGATTTATGCTATATGCCACGGATAATTTTGTAATTGTGATATATAAAAGAAAAATGAATCTTAGAATCTGACATTAGGTTGTCAATTGTTATTTAAAAATAATGTATATAGATTTGTGCAAATTCATTCTATACGCTTAAATTTTCTGTACGTTTTCAATAGATATTCTTAATGCAAACCAAGTTTAATGCCCTAATTTATTGTAAGACAAATCTTAGATTGGAAAAGGAGGTAGGTATATATTACCTATATTATAGTCAATGTTACAAATGCTTTGAAGCATTTTTTGAATGCGTTCCGAATTATGCATGAAACGCATGTTGCATTATTCATCCTTATTCATCAAATAATAAAGCAGGATAAAATGATACATGCGCTTCATGCATAACTTGGAACGTACCCTTTGATTGGTCAATTTATAGTAAATTTTTCTTCAATCAAATGTTTCGAAAATATTTGTAGCATCAAGTGATCTGCATCTTATAAGATATATTATAAATAAATACGACTAATATATATATCAGCGAGTTATCTAGCATCCTATATTATCTATCTACGGAGTGTATGGATTTCTTTAATTTTATTTCAGTCGTTCTCTATATCGATTTGGCCATAATCTATATCGTCCAATGGTGGCATCATCGAGAGGGACTCGTTGAGATTAAAAGTCTCCTGCAATACAATAAAGAAATCATTCAATTAAACATATTCTAAATGATGACAAGTGCTTACAGGAATACAAAGATATTACAAAAATCTACAAGATATTCTTTTTGTTTGATGCTTCTAAGCCTGCATTCAGAAAGCATATTATCAGCAATGTTGTGTCATTCTCATTTTATACCTAATAAACGATAAAGATAGAGAAAAGAATAACACAATAATGTTGATAGCGCATTCCTCGAATGCAGTCTAATAGAGCGTATGATACGTACACTCACGTAATTCACATGCACGGGTGTCGGATATATACACGGCATACATTCCATCTGCGTGACGCCATTATTATCAGCGGTGCATTCGCAGAACTGACATTTGTTCGGCTCGGCTGTGAGAGCGATCCTCTTTGAAAAGACGCTTGCAAATTTTTTGATCGAAGCTGACTTCTCAAGACGTAATTTGTCTCCGCTAAATATCGTGCCATTCGTCTCTAGAGACAGTGGCGTGCAATAACCCAACACATTCTTGGAGAGCTTAACCTGTCTCCTCAGATCCACATCACCAATCAAGGTACGGGAATCCTTCTTTGTGTATGACTTGGCTGCATCTAAACCGTAGAAAATCTTGCTGACTTTTTCCTTTTCAAATTGGAAGTCACCATCCATCAATATATGCAAAGTGATGTCGTGCTCCAGTAGTACTTGGTGTAACACGGAATATTCCAGCTAAAATGAATGATTAATTAGATAATAATTCGATAATTATATTTAAAATCGATTGCACTAACATTATTTTGACTTTAAGCAAGGCTTAAAATTCTCTCTATTTCTTTCTCTCTTTAAAGAGAGAAAGTGAAAATTTTAAGCATTGCTTGAAGTCGAAATAACGTTATAATGTAACCGGGTCTAAATCTCAAAATTGAAAAGTTAGGATTACCGTTTGATTCTCTGGTTCGCAATGCGAGCATGGTACTAATATGAAGGTCTTCGACACACCGGCTCTAAAGATAAGCCGCGAGGCGAAACCGATTGCGGCAAAGATGTCCTGACTGCCGCTGCCAATTGGTACATAGTCGAAGTAATCAACAAAGTGCGGTACGTTCTTTGTGAAGATCTGCCCGTCAAGGATGATACTTCTGGGTTGGTCATGTACTCCGTCACCACCGAATACTATCAAGGACCATCGGTTGCCCGTGAGACCTTGATCGTTCAACTCCTTACTGAGCTGTGTGATTAGCAACTCCATGCTGCTGTTTATCTTTATGTCGCGATTGCAGCTCTTCGCCTCGACGATGAACACCACATCGGCTGATCGCGGCACTTTGTCGCCCTCCAATCGCTTAAAACGACCCTCCGCCACTTGACTGCCATCCATCATGGTACATGTAGTACATCGGTCGGGTATTCGCAGATAAGTGTCGCGGAACATACACATCTGCATGTACGACATCGCCACTGTGCACACTTCGGTCTCGGTCAGGCTACTTAGACACATATCGATGTATTTGGTTGGATCGATCACGCCAAAACAGACACTGAATTCCGAGCTCTTGTTCACGAACAGCTCGTCGCAGAACGTAGTTACCGGGCCATCCTGCTGTTGAATCTTACTGGCGTGATTTGTCGTGTCGGCGCAGTTTTTGCCGATGGACCAGCTATGAGCGAAGCTGCCGATATTCTTTAGGAGTAACTTGTTCGATCCCAGGGTGTCGTCAAACTGTTCATTATTCATTGTGCCAAGAAGACCGGCTGTTTTCCCGTAATACCAACCTGATAATTCCAAGGTGCATACGTTGAACTTGAGATTACATTCGAGTCGAAATTGGTTGTGTTTGCGTTCTACCATCACTACATTTTCCACTTGATAAACATATGTGTCATTGTCTAATTCAATCGGTAGCTGCAGGTTGCTTGTGATGTCTGCTGATTTCTGGGAGATCAGCTTCATTGTCTGGATAACACATCATTTAATATAAAATATCATTTATTATTAAAATACAATGATAAATTATCTATCGTTGGATATTTTACTTCCTTTAACAAGCTATTTTTAAAATTATTGAAAACAATTTTTTTTTTCAAGATCTAGATTTCTTTTTTTCTAGATCTCATTATGAATTTTATTTTTGCCTTCTAAAATAAATTTCCTTTGAAAAAAATCTATACTAGCATTTGAAACGGTTTTTTTTTTAAGTAATGTAATCATAAACATAATTTTTATTAGTCAAAAGTGATTGAAATTTTAATTTAATTTTTGACATAAACATGAACATAAGTTATATACTGACATCGTTGAAGAGGTCCAATTCGATAGCATTGCTTCCGATTAGCACTATAATCTTATGAGTAATTTTCTCATCTTGTTGATCATATTTCACTAAAACTGTGAAAGTGTTGCGTATGAAATCCTTCGCTAACAAGTAGATACAATTTCCCGCAAATTCAAAATAACGTCCATCGAAAGTAATATAATGCTGGGAACCAATAATCATGGCTTGTGCTGAAATGGTACAAATTGTTAAAATTTAATTATATTATTTTCGATGTATTTGATTAAAATTCGATTAATCCGATATTAAACTAAGCTCAGTTATCGTTAAATTATTTTTAAATTTTTCGTAGTTGCGAGACGAACCTTTGAACGGTGGTAACCAGTTTGACAACTCCGAGTATGGCTTGTATTGATAGTAAAGACTCCAGAAAGTAGTGTTTGAGGTGACAAAGTATGTCTTGAAATCAGTGATCGCTCTGATTTCCGGTATTTCGTGGAACTCGGGCGTTTGATTAAAGGCGTGCCAAGACATGGGTAATTTTTGTTCCAGGCACATCAAACCCTCATTAGGATCGAAGATGAACATGGTTTTAGCCTCCCTGTAACGACTCTCAGCTTCCAGCGCCGTTTGACTAATGTCCATCATCTTAGAATGCACCAATCGAATAAAACCTTCTATTTTGAGCTTGACTTCAAAATACTCGCAGAAGTAGTTAATTCTTTCATATAACTGCTCGAGTTTCTCTATAGAATAGTTGACTGATGGCAGTTTCCGGAGCTCTTTCAATTCTGACACGATCTCATCCACGACATCCTTAAGCTCCTTGCCGAATGGCACGAAGGCGAAGTAGCGCTCTTTTACGAACTGTATTATCAAGCCTGAATACTTATGCATGTTGGTCACAATATCGTTTGCCTTGATGTCGCGATAGACCTTATCAATGTCATGGGTGAAATTAGTGAAACGATCAAAATACGGCGATGTGATGAGCTCTTTTTTACGATCATACAAAAAATCCAGCATTTCTTTGCTTGCTTTCCAAAGGAGCGTCTCAACATAATGAAGAAAACGAATAAACAGAGGTTCCATTAATTTCAAGAAGCGATACCATTGTTCTGAGATGGATGAGAAAATTGTGTTCCACAAATTTTCGATATATTTAATGAAGGATACATGCAGATCCTTGATAAATATGTCATACTTTTCGATCAGCTTCTCAATTATATTCGCTACTTGCGACAATGAATCGCCTCTCAATACAGCGACTATAATCTCGGACACCTTATGATAAGCATTCTTGATAGTCTCAATCAACCAGAGCAACGAATTTCGCAAAGCTTCTCCAGATTCGCCCATTATCTCCCAGATTTCATTTAGAATGTTAGGAAGGGATTCGATATGACTTCGCAGAGACAGTTCGTCGATAATGAATATACCGAAACCGATGATATCCTTGATGTAAAAGTCATTCGCGTTATAGGAATTGTTTAGATATATCTTGAGATCTTCGAAATCACGCTCAAGAATTTTTAAATCACTGAAAAGAACAGAGAAAAAGAAAATTGTATAAATATAAATTCACACAATATAGATAATTACTCTATATTACTATCATATTTTAACATCTTGTTTATCTTAATATTTTTTGCATTATATATAATATATATTACTTAATTTATATCATCTATTTCATCATATTATCATTTATCTTTTGTTATTTACACATTTGATTTTATGCTTTAGCTATTAAATAAGATTTTCATTACATACTTCCAATCGTCAAGGAATCCCGAAATGTCCTCCTGAGCATCCTCCCATACATCCATGATTGCACTTTTTACTTCGCTCTTTATATAATGTTTCCAATAATCAATATCGTTATTCACGCTTTCGCACATTTCATTGAATGTCGTTTTTACAGTAGTCTATCAACAATTGTAACATAATCACTATTAATTATATCAAAATTACATTAAGTGGATGTCTAATGTGTATGAATTTATCTTACAATAACATCGCTTTTAAGTT